ATGCCTGAGTGGGTTTTTTTGTTTGTGTGTTTTTTTAAAAAAAAAGCTAAAGTGGATAAAGAGAAATACTTTTAACTGATGGTATATGGAGGGGATTATAGTCAATGTAATGAAACAAGTTATATGAATTGTTGAATGTGAAACTGATGATGCGCCCTGTAAACTTTTAGTCAATCCACAATAAAAACCTTAAATTAAAAAAATAAAAATAAAAACAAACATAGCCTAAAAGAATAACAATCTACAGGCATCAGGCATAAAAACAAGACTTCTACCAGAGAAAAAACGAAGATGTCTTCAAATTTCACAGCAATATTCATTGTCAGCAAACTATAGAGAACTGTCCATAGTTAGCAGGGCAAGAAGGCTCTAGGAAGAGTATACTCAACCACATAGTTCAAGTAGAAAGGCAACGGGATAATCGTCAGATGTTGATTTAGGAGAATAAAAAACCTTGATTGAATCTGATTTGAAACTTACTCCCATTGAATCAAAACTACAGAAGCAAATAGGCAAGGACCATCATTTGGCTGCAGGTACACCTCTTGCTGGCCCGAGATGTCTAGGATTCCTAATCTACCACTGACCTCTCAGTAATATTTGATTTGGTGATGTCCCAACAAAACAATCTTTATTTAAACTTATCTGAGAGAAACAGACAGCTATACTATATACTATAGTAATAGTATTCAGGTGGTAAAATTATGAGTAAGGTTTTTCTGTAATGTCATATACATACATTTATGATTATAAAATATATGTATTACAACTACTATATAGTGTTAAGAGTTGTTGAGTCGGTTTCAACTCATAACGACCGCATAATGGGGTTGCTGAGGGGTGGCTGGTGGGTTTGAACTGCGGTTAGCAGTCTAGTGCTTACCCTACGGCATCACACCAGGACTACAGGTACTAGTAATGTGCTAATCCATCCACAGCAACCAATGATCTGTCCCAAGTTATTTCCTGCAGTATAAATTTAATCAAATATATGTCATTTAGTGACTCCTTTACAAAATGAGTCCAGTAAAATGATACCTGGTTTGCTGACTGGTGAAGAAGGAAGAAAGCTTGCTGGCATGGCCCTCAATCGAGAATTCTGAATGGCTTCAAGAAATGGCTCTTTGATGTGATCTGTAATAAATCCCAGCACCCCCAAAAAATAGAGGCTTTATAACATGTCAATGTTAAATGATCTCACTATTTTTTCACCAAGTACAAATACCTAGTATACATTATAGTCATTACACATTTGAGATCAACTAAGAACTGTTTTACTGCTAAAATTTTCATATTGCCTAGTTATCAGTATTAAGGAATGATTAAGGACCCTAGGAGAAAATAAATATAAACAGACATACAGCTGAGTGAAACAAAGCAACTTCACAGGTTGAATGAGGCAAATTGAAAAGAGCTGGAAGAAACTCATCACTGCTTTTCCAAATGTTACCTCTTAAAGTGATTGTGTTAACAGCTTGTTACCCCCATGCTCTGCTCTCAGAGGGAACACACTACCAATTCCCACAGAGCAAGAGGGTACATACACTAGCAGAAGAATTCCCTGTAGGGCAACCGGCCAGGTCTATCTGAGCTTCACTTTCTTTTTCAAAATGAAATAGTTTGATTAGCTCTTCTCTAAAATACCAGCACTGGGCTGCAAACTACAAGGTTTAAACCCACCAGCTGTTCCTCGGATCTGACTCAATGGCACTTAACAACAAGAACAAAAGTACTTTGCAGTTTCAAAGGTCTGTGATTCTCCCTGTATAGAAAAATGAGCTAGTCATACAATTCACAGTGTAAGCTGAGAATGCAGGAGCAGAATCCCTCTGTCAAGAACGACTCGGTCACAGAGGAGTCTCTGTGTCCTAACTCTTCTCAACATAAACTGATGAATGAGCTCTGCACCACAGGTCAGGGCAGCCTGCAATTACCTGCTCCCTGGAGTGGAAAAAACAAATCTAAGTAAGAACAAGGAGCGAGCCTAGCAGCCTGATGGATAATGAGCTTGGTTGCTAACCAGAAGGTCAGTAGTTTGAATCTACCAGATGCTCCATGGGAGAAAGCTGAGGCTTTCACTGCTATAAAGAGTTACAGCATTGGAAACCCTATATGGGGTCGCTGTGAGTCGGCACCAACTTGATGGCACACAACCAACACCACAGTAAGAGAAGAAAAGATACTAAAAATAGCAGGTAATTGGACAATCCTTTTCCTAAATATGCAGAACTTATGGTTTTTCAGCTGAAAGCTCAAAAGTGGCTTAAAGGGGTGGAAATGTGCTGAAATTGTTTCATATACACATGTTAAAAAGTCACAGGAAATCTAAGTTTGTCCATGTGTCCCTTCAATTCTGTTAATATTCTGTTACTGGTTTCACATAGACTAAAAAATAACTTGAAAAATTCGTATTTAAAAAACTGGTAGCATCCTACAGCGAGCACCAAAGCAGGACTCCACTACCAAGGTTAGTTTCCAGCAATTATAACCATGTTATCATTAACATTTGATTGTATCAAGTCTTCACAATATCTTACACTCTATCTTCCCATTCTTAAAAAAAAAAACTAGTATCATGAAAACGTTGGATTTATAAATCAGACATTTTTATGAGCATCTTGATAAAGATTTTTGAGACCCCATGAAGCTGTTCCTATATTCAGCTCAAAATTCAAATGATCTCAAGAGTTACCTCAGGATTCCCCTTTTCTACAGGCAGATTCACATTGCCTGGGCCATCACTAACAGTTTACCCTAAGTGAACTCTCTGAACCAGAGTTCCCACTTCTGTAAAACAGGGGTAATGATAATGCCCACCTCAGACTCACAGGGGGGTTCTGCAGTTCAGTTATGTTTGTAAAACACCTCTTAAGTTGTTGTTAAGTGCCAATGAGTCACTTTCGACTCATAGCAACCCTGCTAGGAGGAACAGCTGGTGAATTTGAACCACTGACCTTGCAATTCAAACCAACCTGGAGGTTGAGTGCTTATCCTACGGTACCACACCTCTTAAGCTGTTGTTGTTCTTATTAAGTGCTGTCGAGTAGGTTCTGACTCATAGCAACCCCTATAGGGATTCCGAGGAGTGGCTGGTTAGCTTGAACCGTCAACCATGCTGTTCAAACCAACCTGGCAGTATAGCACATTAACCTTCAGCACCACACCAGGACTCCAAGGAGACATTAAATATGTGGTAACTGTCATTATAAAAACCAAGAATATAATTACATATAAGAGATAATTCAGAAACCTTAGATTCCTGACCTAATGACCTGAAACTCTGGTAGCGTAGTGGTTACGGGTTGGGCTGCCAATCTCAAGTTCAGCAGTTTGAAACTACCAGTGGTTCCGGGGGAGAAAGATGAGGCATTCTTCTCCCGTAAAGATTTACAGCCTCAGAAACCCTGTGCAGGGTCATTATGAGTCAGACCCGACTCCACAGTACTTAACAACAACAACAGCATGTATGTCAATATTAATAATTATACTAAAGTCATTTGAACATACATAATTCGAAAGAATTAGACTTATGTGAATTGTCAGCTAGGTTACCATATTGCAAAGTACTATTTCTGATAGTGTAGTGGTTAGGAATCAGGCTGCAAACCTCAAGGTTGGCAGTTCGAAACTACCAGCGGTTCCGTGGGAGAAAGATGAGACGGTCTGCTCCCATAAAGATTTACAGCCTCGGCAACCCTGTACAGGGTCGCTTTGGGTTGGAATCGACTCAATAGCACTTAACAACAACAACATTTTTAAGAAAATGAATATTGAACTATAAGGTAGTAGCATAATTTAATTAAAAGGTATGCTTTCTTTTGTTTCCATCAAAAATAATAATAATTATTATACTAAAAAGCCAAAATATATTAAGACTAATTTTTTTTTTTTTTTTTAATTTGAATGGTTTTTTTTAAATATGCTAGCCTACATAGTCCACTCCCAGAGCATCTGATTGAAGGGATGCATTTTTCACCTGCCACCCTTATCTCTGGTCTGTTTTGCACATCACTTTAGCGGCTTCGGTGAGACTTCCTTAAAGAATGTAGATTAAAGTAGGGGTGAGATCCTCTTTCTTACCAGGGATTTGTGGGTAAACTTTTTCCATCATGTATTCCTTTAAATTCCTTGGCATTTCTCCTCGAATGTCAACAAGTACTCGCGTTTCATTAGACGAAATTTGATAGATGAGAATTGGACTCGGATTAGTTAAAATAAGTTCGGCATGATTTGCTTTAAACTGTGGTGCATTCTAGAAAAGGGAAAAAAGTATTTTAGTAATTTTCTAATTTCATGTTGCTATTATTTTTCCACAACCACGCTCCTACAATACCTTCATAAGAAATCCAACAAAATGAGATGAAACAGAAACTTCATTGGAGACTAGGTTTTTCCTGAACTTGGAGAAAAGTCCATCAGCAACAACAGTCAACGGAGCACGGAGTTCCTGTCAGGGAGAAAGAATGCGCAGTGAAAGGTTAAAAATACACGGTAATTTAAGAGCTACTCTGTGGTTTTTACTTTTATTTTTGAAACTTTCTGTGAATTGGGTGAAGGTTTACAGAGCACATCAGTTTTCCTTTAAATGACTCCTACACATCTTGTTTTCTGTTATTGATTGCAATCCCTTCACTTTTTCCACTTCTCTGTGTCTAACAGAATGTTAACAGAAATAAAGTGAAACGAAGGTACACATGGACCAACTTGGACTTTCAATAATGACAATCTTTTAGAGACATTTGCTAAGTCTCTAGAATTACCTTCCTTTGCACACCACCATTCAAACTATCAAGGATTACTCTTCACTTTGAAAAGCAGGAGGGAAACAATGATAGGGCAAGTCTGGACCACTGGCAATTGAATCACATTATAAATTCCAAGGACTCGCCAGATTCTTTTATTCTAGCTTTCAGCCAGTGAAAACCACTTTCAAGTGTACATTAATCCAGTGATCCAGTAGCATTAATCACACTCACACAGCTGTGCACCCATCACCCCAAACCCTCCCCCCTTTCAGTTTACAGCACTGTTACTGAACT